GTTTCCGCCACACCAGTTAAACAGTTCGTAAAGTGCAAGAGACTTAAATGCCACCCAGTCAGTAATATCACTCAATCAACAACATACTGCGTACCGTTGGGCACATACATAAAGTGCAAGATCTAAAGTGCAGTACATACCTGAACTGATTCTCAGCATTCACTAAGGTGCGGCATAGAGGGATAAGGAAGGGGGCGTAAGTGCTAGTATCGTTTAGCAGCAAGTGGCAGGCGCCTTAAAGTGCTATTGCGTTCTTATATCAACTTAGCAGCGAGGACAACCAAAGAGTGTGTTATGGTAGTAATATATAGTCACACTCTTACGAGAATGATGGTAACAATTAAATAAAGTTATTATGATTCAGATGTACCTCTAGACAGTTGGTCTGAAAGCGGATGGGGCATCCGGAGGTGTTATACACGGCGGCGGTCAGCGCCGTTAGTCTGTCATATAACTATCAATCCAAAGAGGCCAGCTCAAGAGGTCTGCACAATATTAAGGCCGGCACAAGAAGTTTACACAGTATTAAGCCAGCACAAGGTCTATTTGATGTTAAAGCCGGCACAAGAGATCTACACAATCTAGAGATCTACACAATATTTAGGCCAGCACAAAGTTTTAACTGTTATTGTTGTGATAATTTACATTGTGTAAACCGCATTGAGTCGCCTAATTAGGCTGTGAAACGCGGTATAGAAATAAAGCAAATAAATAAATAAATAAACTACAACTCCCAAATGTCAAGGTCTATTATCCCCAAACTCCACCAGAGTTCATATTTCAACACATTGAGTGTTCGTACCCAGATCAATCATTGTTTGAGTCCACAGTGCGCTCTGAATGCAGGTGAACTACAACTCCCAAACTCAAGGTCGATGCCCACCAAACCGTTCTAGCATTTTCTGTTGGTCATGAAAGTTCTGTGTAGCCAAGTCTGGTTCAATTCCATCATTGGTGGAGTTCAAAATGGTGTTTGATTGCAGGCGAACTATAAATCCCAGCAACTACAACTCCCAAATGACAACATCAATCTCCCCTAACCCTACCAGTATTGAAATTTGGGCCTATCAGGTTATTGTTGTTGTTGGTCATTCGTTCAGTCATCTCTGACTCTTCGTGACCTCATTGACCAGCCCACGCCAGAGCTCCCCGCCGGCCGTCACCACCCCCAGCTCCTTCAAGGTCAGTCCAGTCCCTTCAAGGATGCCATCCATCCATCTTGCCCTTGGTCGGCCCCTCTTCCTTTTACCTTCCACTTTCCCCAGCATAATTGTCTTCTCTAGGCTTTGCTGTCTCCTCATGATGTGCCTATCGGGTATTTGTGCCAAATGTGGTCCAGTGAATGAAAATACACCCTGCATATCAGATATTTACATGACGATTCATAACAGGAGCAAAATGACAGTGATGAATTAGCAACAAAAATAATGTTATGGTTGGGGGTCACCACAACATGAGGGACTGGATTCAGGGGTTGCAGCATTAGGAAGGTTGAGAACCACTGTTCTAAGGGCACATCCTAGGGTACAAGTGAGAGTGTTCAGTTCTTGATCCTGCTGCTCTAGAACATGGCCACGCTGATAATGTCTCCTTTCCAAGCGTTGATTTCCATATATACCTGCACTGTATAAATCCCCCATCTGTCTGCACATATATGGGCCTGGCACTTGCGTGCCGCTAACCAGGTTCGATGCCAAATATGTCTGATATCAATTCTTTTTTGGAGACCTCCCACATTGGTGCTGCCAGGTGATTCTGGGACGTGAAGGATGGCCATCTGCTTCCCTTGGCAGCTCTGTCACATCCCGGTTCTCACTATAGCCCTCAAGCTGCTCAGTTTGGGGCGAGGGGAGTATTTTGAGCTTTGCTTGTGCCCAGGTGATGGGAGGTAACAGTCCTGTTCTCTTCAGTTTTGGTCAGACTTTGCCTGGAATAAGAGTGTGCCCAGGTTTGGACAACAGAGTTCAGGAAAGTTATGGGCAAGGGAAAGATGACCAGAGACGGGGCACCAAAATGGCCCAAGCTCTGGGAACCATGAGTCCCTCTAAGGCAGTGGATTGTCAACCTACCTAATGCCGCAACCCCTTAATACAGTTGTTGTGCTGACCCCCAACCATAACATTATTTTTGTTGCTACTTCATAACTATAATTTTGCTATTGTTATGAATCGTCATGTAAATATCTGATATGCAGGATATATTTTCATTCACTGGACCAAATTTGGCACAAATACCCAATATGCTCATATTCGAAAACTGGTGGGGTTTGGGGAGATTGATGTTGTCCTTTGGGAGTTGTAGTTGCTGGGATTTATAGTTCAGCTACAATCAAAGAGCGTTCTGAACTCCACCAACGATGGAATTGAATCAGACTTGGCTACACAGAACTCCCATGACCAACAGAATATGCTAGAATGGTTTGGTGAGCATTGACCTTGAATTTGGGAGTTGTAGTTCACCTACATTCAGAGCGCATTGTGGACTCAAACAACAATCGATCTGGACCAAACTTGGCATGAACACTCAATATGTCGAAATATGAACTCTGGTGGAGTTTGGGGAAAACAGACCTTGACATTTGGGGGTTGTAGCTGCTGGAATTTATAGTTCACCTACAATCAAAGAGCATTCTGAACCCCACCAACGATAGAATTGGGCCAAAGTCAATTCCTCTGCAATGCCACAAATAGAGCTTAATGGTGTAATGTTAGAAAATGTTGACCATTACCTCTTCTTTTGCCACCACCTCTCCACAAACATTGACACTGAAACATAACACTGCCTGAGCTCTGTGAGTGCAGCATTCTTCTGAATGAAGCAGAGAGTGTTTACGGATCAGGACATTTGTAGGGAGACCAAGATGCTTGTTGATGAAGCTATTGTCCTCCTAACCGTGTCATATATGCATGAGAGAGAGGGGGGCAGAAGACAGTTTCATCTTGTCTCCTGCCTATGTCATCCCCCCCGGTATCAACTGCTGTTGTGGGTCAGAGCGAAGAGAGAGTAGGGCAGAAGATAATTCCATCTTGTCTCCTGTGTTTTACTAATAATATAATATATACATATAATATTTATAACATTATAATGTAATAAAATACAATACTAATATTAATAATACAATATTATAATTAAATATTTTATATTACATGTAATATTACTGATAATATTATAATTTAATGGTATAGTACAATATGGTAATTTATAATACTGATATTGTACTATGCTAATAATATAATATTGTATGTATATATGTCTTGTAAGTAGCAACAGTCAGAACTGACCACGGAACAGGAGACTGGTTCAAGACTGGGAAAGGCGTCCGGCAAGGCCGCATCATCTCACCCAACCTTTTTAACTTGTATGCAGAACACATCATGCGAGGATGTGCGGGGCTTGAGGAATGCTGGAAGAAACATCAACAACCTCAGATATGCAGATGACACCACTCTGATGGCCGAAAGCAAGGAGGAGCTGAGGAGCCTTATGACCAAGGTGAACGAAGAAAGCGCAAAAGCTGGGTTGCAGCTAATCATAAAAAAAACCAAGATTATGGCAACAAGAATGATTGACAACTGGGAAATAGAGGGAGAAAAGGTGGAGGCCGTGACAGACTTTGTATTTCTAGGTGCAAAGATGAGTGCAGATGCAGATGTGGCCAGGAAATCAGAAGACGCTTCCTTCTTGGGAGGAGAGCAATGTCCAGTCTCAATAAAATAGTCAAGAGTAGAGACATCAGACTGGCAACTAAGATCCATTGCCTAGTCAAAGCCATGGTATTCCCTGTAGTCACCTACGGATGTGAGAGCTGGACCTTCAGGATGGCTGAGTGAAGGAAGATCGATGCTTTTGAGCTGTGGTGTTGGAGGAAAGTGCTGAGAGTGCCTTGGACAGCGAGAAGATCCAACCAGTCCATCCTCCAGGAAATAAAGCCCGACTGCTCACTGGAGGGAAGGAGACTAGAGGGAAAGTTGAAGTCCTTTGAATGCCACATCATGAGGCGACAGCAAAGCCTAGAGAAGGCAATGATGCTGGGGAAAGTGGAAGGAAAAAGGAAGAGGGGCCGACCAAGGGCAAGATGGATGGATGGCATCCTTGAAGGGACTAGACTGACCTTGAAGGAGCTGGGGGTGGTGACGGCCGACAGGGAGCTCTGGCGTGGGCTGGTCCATGAGGTCACGAAGAGTCGGAGACGACTGAACGAATGGACAACTTGTCTTGTAAACCGCTCTGAGTCCTCTTCGGGGTGAGAATGGCGGCATATAAATGTCACAAATAAGTAAATAATAAACATGGACTGTCTACAGATGTCACTCTCAACTTCTGGAACGCTTCCATCACCATTGCCTCTGATCACCTTCCACCTGGAGACAGATGTCCTCACTGCAGAAGAACATGTGAGTCAAGAATAGGTCTCTACAGTCACCTAAGGACCCACAACCAAGGGGGCACATTGAAGTGACTGGTTTTAAAAGGCCTAATTCCCTCCCATAATATCATTTCTCATGCACCTGCTTTTCGTCTCCTTATCTCTAAGCCTCTGGGAAAAGCGAGTCTGTCTTTGTTGTATGCTCTGTCTCACCAGTTCCAAGCCCTTAGACAAATATTCATCTCCCACATTTCTCTCAGCCTGCACTTCTGGCAGGTTCTCATGAGAACAAATATTTCTTTCTCCAGTCTTCTGGGAACTGCCAGGAGATTCCAAAACAACTCTCTCGAGGCCACTTCTATCCCTCTCTGGGCCCTTTGACTCTATCAAAGCACCCCCTTCCTCATCTTCTGAGCACTCAGAATCTGACCAGGCTACAACAGTGTCAAACTATGTGAATTTTACTCCATGGATGAAGCCTAAGGTCTTCAGCCTTCTCTGCCAAAGACTGCAAACTACAACTCCTAGCATTTCTTCACATTGCGCCATGGCAGCTACATTGGTGTCAAACTGCATGAGTTCTCACAGCACGTGTAGATGCATGCTATGTCAGCCTTTGTTCCCAACAACTTACCTATATAGAGTGGTGAATTGGTCGTGCTGGCAAAATCGTCGATGTAGGAGATGCCAAAGGGTTGGATGGGCACTCCGCCAACTCCCAGCATGGTCTGTCCGAGGAACAACAGCCCGACGACCAAGGCATTTCTCTCCACATGGCTGGTGCACACTTCGCTCACAGAGGGGTGCTTTTCCCCTGGGAGGCACATATCCGTCAGGTTGCGTGAATCTGCAGGGAGAAAGAGGCAACGGGCATTCCTTCTGCAGTCCAGTCGCATCCTACCTATCTGTTTACATTTCTCGTTTTGAGCTGACCCTTCCAAACTGGTTCCCACCCTTTCCCATTTCCCTACAATCCTTTTCTTTCGTCTTCTTAATTTATGGTGAGGAGGGGGAAAGAGGAGTAGAAGGGAAGGATGCAAATTGCTTTGGGAGACAGTGGCTTCTGTTCAATTGCTAGTCCCAATGCCTGTGCGTCTGTGCGCATTCGGAAGAAGATCGACAAACCACTCTAAACACCTTCGCAGAAGCATATGAGAAGCTCGGCCTGTCATTGAACATCGAGAAAACCAAAGTGCTCTTCCAGCAGTCACTGGCCAATCCCTCTCCAATGCTAGAAATACAGCTTAATGGTGTCACATTAGAAAATGTGGACCATTTCCGCTCCCTTGGCAGCCGCCTCTCCACCAAAGTCAACATTGACACTGAAATACAACACCGCGTGAGCTCTGCAAGTGCAGCATTTTTCCAAAGGAAGCAGAGAGTGTTTGAGGACCGGGACATCCGTAGGGAGACCAAGGGGCTTGTTGATGAAGGTATTGTCCTCCCAACCCTGCTATATGCCTGTGAGACATGAACTGTCTACAGACATCACATGCAACTCCTGGAACGATTCCATCAGCGGTGCCTCCGAAAAATCTGTCAGGATTAATTTAGTTATGTATGTGTTTTAAATGTGCTTCTATGTATTGCCAAGATGGATGCTACTGTGAATTAGAAATGCTGTGCAGAATGTTTACACTATGGGGCTGTGATTAAGTGAACTTGAGAAAGTAAGATAAGGTTTGCTCTTGCTGGAAACGGAAGGGAGTAGCCAGTCTCAGCAAGAGAGATAAGCAGATGTGCAGAAGCTTTCGTTTTGACTAGTTCCTGAATTGTAGCTCGCTGTAGTAAGACGTGTCTGTTGAATGTGCTTAGTAAAACTTAGTTTCTTTTGTAACTCAAAACCTGCAGAATCCTTATTTTACAACTAAGTGTCTGCTGATCTAGCATTCCTTCCGCTGGACATCGTTTGAACTCTGACAAATCCTGCAAATCTCTTGGGAAGACTAGCGGACAAGCGTGCTGGAAGAAGCAAAGACCACCAGCATTGAAGCGATGGTCCTCCACCATCAACTCCGCTAGACTGGACACGTTGTCCGGATGCCCGACCACCGTCTCCCAAAGCAGTTACTCTCCTCCAAACTCAAAAATGGAAAACGCAATGTTGGAGGACAGGAAAAGGGATTGAAAGATGGGCTCAAAGCCAACCCTTAAAGGATCTGGCATAGACACTGTGAACTGGGAAGCCCTGGCCCTTGAGCGCTCCAGTTGGAGGTCAGCTGTGACCAGCAGTGCTGCAGAATTTGAAGAGTCACGAATGGAGGGTGAAAGACAGAAACATGCCAAGAGGAAAGTGCATCAAGCCAACCGCGACCGGGACCGCCTTCCACCTGGAAACCGATGCCCTCACTGTGGGAGAAGATGCAGGTCAAGAATAGGGCTCCACAGTCACCTATGGACCCACCACCAGGATACTACACTTGGAGGACCATCATCCTCGGACTACGAGGGATCGCCAAAGTAACTAGGTCCCAACGCTAGACTAGAGCTAGTGATTCTACTGAATTTTCCACCATTCAGCAACTGATAGAATGGCTTGAGTCTTCCAAAGGATTCCAACCAATTGTTGATATCTAAGTGCTGTTGAATTCGCAAGACTCATACAACTGAGTAATTAATTCAGATTCTGTGTAAACTCTACTTGTTCTGTGGTACATGGTGGTACATTCTTTGGACTACTGCAGTGCATTCTACATGGGGCGGCCTTTGGAGACTGTTTGGAAACTTCGGTTGGTCCAAAGAGATGCAGCCGGATTGCTACACGGTGCCAGGACAATTAGTGGAAGGAAGAAGAAGAGATGAGGAAGACAAGGAGGGATGAGAAGAAGGAGGAGGAAAAGTAGAGAGGAGATGGAAGAAGAGGAGGAGGAAGAGAAGGAGAGGAAGAAGAGAAGGAGGGAGAGCAGACGGAGGAGGAGAAAGAGCACAGGGAGGAAAGAATTAGAGGAAGGAAGAGGAAGATGAAAAGGACAAGGAGGAATGAAAAGAAGAAGGAGGAAAAGTAGGTAAGAGAGAAAGCAGACTGAGGAGGAGGACGAGCATGGGGAAGAGGAGGAAAAGGAGAAGGAGCACAGTGAGGAGAAAGAGGAGAGGCATAAAGATGAGGAGCAGGATGAGTAGATGGAAGAGAAGGAGATAATGAAGAGGAGGAAGAGAATGAAGAGAAGGAGGGAGAGCAGACTGCGGGGGAGGAAGGAAGGGCGGAAGGGAGGAAGGAGGAAAAAGAAGGATGGAAGAAGGAAGAGATAAGGATAAAGTGGAATGAGAATGAGGAGGAGGAAAAGTAGGAAGGAGATGGAAGAGGAGGAGAAAAGAGAGAAAGAAGAGAAGGAGGGAGAGTGGGCCAAGGAGGAGGAAGAGCACAGGGAGTAAAAGGAGGAGGAGGAGAATTAGGGGAAGAGGAGGAGATGAGGAAGACAAGGAGGAATGAGAAGAAGGAGGAGGAGAACAGAGGAGATGAAAGAAGTGGAAGAGAAGGGGAAGAGAAAGAAGAGAAAGAAGAGAAGGAGGAAGAGGAGAAGAGAGGAAGAATAGGGAAGAGGAGGAAGAGGAGGAGCATGAGGGAAAAGAAGAGGATGAGGAAGAAAGGAAGGAGAGAAGAAGGGAGAGAAGAGGAGGAGGAAGAGAAAGAAGAGAAGGAGGGAGAGTAGACTGAAGAACAGGAAGAACATGGAGAAGGGAAGAAAAAGGAAGAGGAGCAGAAGGAGGAGGAGGTGATGGAAGAAGAAGAGGACAAGGAGAAGAATGCAAAGGAGGAGGAGGAGATGGAGGAAGCAGAGACTAACCATAAGATTTAGGCTAATATTTATTTGAAAACCGGAATGAAAATGTACACAAATCAATGTCGACTATCCTAAGAGGAAAACACTACCTCTGAGGATGCTTGCCATAGATACAGGTGAAACGTCAGGAGAGAATGCCTCTAGACCATAGCCATATAGCCCGAAAAAACCTACAACAACCTAATGACGTGTTGGATTTTCTCTTCCAAAAGCAGAAGTTGAAGCCCAGCCTGGCCTGCACCACTATGCCAGGTTTTGATTTCCCTGGCTCCCCCCTCCTTGGGACACCAGTGGACCCAGAGGAGATTTCCCGGGCAGAACCATGATTTCCTTTGGGAAGGAAAGCCTGCCAGTTTAATCCCGATTTAATACTGGAGAGAGAAGCCAGGGGGATCGCTCTCAGCCTGTTGAAATGATGTGTGCTGCTTTCGGGGAGAATAAATAACCAAATCCATCTTCTCCCTGCTGCAAGCATGCCTTCCAAAACAAGATGTTCTTCTCCCCTTGACTCATCTTAAAGGAGACGGGGAGAAGCCAGGGTTGCAATTGTTTTCGTCGCAAATTATCTGCAGGATTAGCCACTGTCTTCACTGACCAGCTTTCACAACCATACATAAACTCATTTAGAATCCTAGAATCCTAGAATTGGAAGAGATCTAGTCCAACCACATTCTGCTAAGAAGCAGGACAATTGCATTCAAAGCACCCCTGACAGATGGCCATCCAGCCTCTGTTGAAAAGCTTCCAAAGGAGGAGCCTCCACCACACTCCGGGGCAGAGAGTTCCACTACTGAACAGCTCTCAATGGAAAGGAGGAAATCATGGAAATGAACAAAATCTGGATACCAGATGTGGCAGCAAAAAAAGCCAATGGGATGTTGGCCTGCATCAAGAGGAGCCTAGTGTCCAGATCGAGGGAAGTCATGCTCCCCATGCTCTATTCCGCTTTGGTTAGACCACGTTACCTGGAATATTGTGTCCAATTCTGGGCACCACAATTCAAGAGAGATATTGACAAGCTGGAATGTGTCCAGAGGAGGGCGACTAAAATGATCAAGGGTCTGGAGAACAAGCCCTATGAGGAGCGGCTTAAGGAGCTGGGCATGTTTAGCCTGAAGAAGAGAAGGCTGAGAGGAGATATGATAGCCATGTATAAATATGTGAGAGGAAGCCACAGGGAGGAGGAGGGAGCAAGCTTGTTTTCTGCTTCCCTGGAGACTAGGACGCAATGCAACAATGGCTTCAAACTACAAGAAAGGAGATTCCATCTGAACATGAGGAAGAACTTCCTGACTGTGAGAGCCGTTCAGCAGTGGAACTCTCTGCCCGAGTGTGGTGGAGGCTCCTTCTTTGGAAGCTTTTAAACAGAGGCTGGATGGCCATCTGTCAGGGGTGATTTGAATGCAATATTCCTGCTTCTTGGCAGAAATGGGGTTGGACTGGATGGCCCATGAGGTCTCTTCCAACTCTTTGATTCTAGGATTCTATGATTCAAACAAACCCTCACGCTAATAGGAAGCAGTCTTATGGGGTGCCAGACACTGCTCCATCTTAATCATGCTTTCTGGTAACGTTTGGGACTTTTCCCAACCCTGTAATCCCTTTGTTTGGTGGAGATTCTATGGATTAATCACTCTTAGTTTCCAATCAACCATTTTAATTACTGGGCATTTTAATCACTTCTTTCAATAGCCATTTCCAAGGGGATCAGCTGCTGTTTTGGTCCGTTGTAGCAAACGAAAACAAGAATCAGCTCTAAAGCGTTTGCAGCATTTGCTTCTGAGGATTGCAGCCATGCTCTCCATGCACTTGGTGAAGCCCTTTGTGGTCCAGGAAAGTGTCTCTTAAATAATAATAAGGCCAGTCTTTGAGAGATGATAAGATTGCTGGCTGTTTTACAATCCCGTTCCTCTTGTTCTTATGTGCCTTCCTCATGATTACTCTGTCCTAGGGTTTTCTAGGCAAAGGATAATGGAGGAAGGCAGGGAGTGTCAGAAAAACATCTATTTCTGTTTTATTGACTCTTCTAAAGACTTTGACTGTGTGGATCATAATAATTTGTGGCAAGCTCTTGGTGGTCTGTATGGGGAGACCAAGCCACCTTGTCTCTCTCCTGAGGAATCCATATAAGGACCAAGTAGTAACAGTCAGAACTGACCACGGAAGAAGAGACTGGTTCGAGATTGGGAAAGGCGTACGGCAAGGTTGTATACTCTTACCCAACCTATTAAACTTGTATGCAGAACACATCATGCGATGTGTGGGGCTTGAGGAATGCAAAGCTGGGGTGAAAATTGCTGGAAGAAACATTAACAACCTTAGATATGCAGATGACACCACTCTGATGGCTGAAAGTGAGGAGGAGCTGAGGAGCCTTCCAATCAAGGTGAAAGAAGAAAGCGCAAAAGCTGGGTTGCAGCTAAACATAAAAAACCCAAGATTATAGCAACAAGAATGACTGACAACTGGGAAATAGAGGGAGAAAACGTGGAGGCAGCAACAGTCATCTAGGTGTGAAGATGACTGCAGATGCAGACTGCAGCCAGGAAATCAGAAGATGTTTCCTTCTTGGGAGGAGAGCAAGGACCAATCTCGATAAAATAGTGAAGAATAGAGACATCCTACTAGCAACGAAGATCTGCATAGTTAAAGCAATGGTATTCCCCATAGTAACCTATGGATGTGAGAGGTGGACCATAAGGAGGGCTGAGCGAAGGAAGAGAGGCGCTTTTGAACTGTGGTGCTGGAGGAAAATGCTGAGAATGCCTTGGACCCCAAGAAGATCCAACCAGACCACCCTCCAGGAAAGAAAGCCTGGCTGCTCATTGGAGGGAAGTCATTTGACCACATCATGAGAAGACAGGAAAGCTTAGAGAAGACAACGATGCTGGGGAAAATGAAAGGAAAAAAGAAGAGGGGCTGACCAAGGGCAAGATGGATGGATGGCATCCTTGAAGGGACTGGCTTCACTCTGAAGGAGCTGGGGGTGGTGATGGCCAACAGGGAGCTCTGGCGTGGGATGGTCCAGGAGGTCAGAAGTGACTGAACAACTAAACAACCCAGGGTTTTCTTGACCACAGTTCTTCAGAGGAGATTTGCCACTGCTTCCTTCTGGGGCTTGGATAGTGTGATTTGCCCAAAATCATTTAACTGAGTGTGAATTTTAATCCCGACCTTCTGAAATGTGAATCATGTCAGGATTATTTAGTTATGTATGTGTGTTTTTCAATGTGCTTCTATGTAATTCAAAATGGATTTAAGATGTATTCCAAGATGGATTCTATTCTGTTCAATTGTGTATAAGAAAATACTGTGCTGAGGCTGTGAAACTGTAACCTTGACAGAAATGAGATAACGTGTTCTCTGGCTGGGAAGAACAGGGAGGATCTGGTCTCAGCCAGAAATCAGATAAGCAGATGTTCAGAGACTGTTGTTTTTGTCTTAGAGTTCCTGTCTGTAGCTTGCTGTGAATAGACATGTGTAGATGTACTTAGTAAAACGTAGTTTTCTGTTGTAACTGAAAGCTTGCAGAGTCCTCATTTTGAACACAGTGTCTGCTGATCTAGCAATCCTTCCGCTGGCAAATGTCAATACTCTGACAGATCAAACACTCAAACTACTAGAACTCCTGCTCTCCTGGAGTCTCAGAACTATTGCAAAAAAAGAGACCAAACCAACACTGAAATGGCAGCGTCCTTCCATGTACTAGACCAGGGCAAATTTGGGCACTCCATGAGTTTTGGACTTCAACTCCCACCATTTCTAACAGCCTCAGGCCCCTTCTTTTTCCACTTAAGCAGCTGAAGGGGGAAAGGAAGTAGGCAGAGGCTGTTAGGAATGGTGGGAGTTGAAGTCCAAAACACCTGGAGGGAGGGCTGAAGTTGGACCATGCCTGGTCTAAATCCTTCACTCTGGACCAATTCTTGCACAGATCCTGGCCCGTCTTTTCCTGGCCAACCAGAAGCAGAAGGAGGGCAATTCAAATTCTAACAATGGAACAGACTCTATATAGCAGCGTTTCTCAACCTGGGAGTTGCGACCCCTGGAGGGGTTGAGAGGGGGTGTCAGGGGGGTCACCAAAGACCATCAGAAAACACTGTATTGTTTTCTGTTGGTCATGTGTGGGAAGTTTGGCACAATTCTATCGTTGGTGGGGTTCAGAATGCTCTTTGATTGTAGGTGAACTATAAATCCCAGCAACAACAACTCCCAAATGTCAAGGTTTTTTTTCCCCAAACTCTACTGGTGTTCACATTCAGGCATATTGAGTATTCATGCCAAATGTGGTCCAAGTCTATCATTGTTTGAGTCTACTGTGCTCTCTGGATTTAGGTGAACTACAACTCCAGAACTCAAGGTCAATGCCCACCAGACTCTTCCAGTATTTTTGGTTGGTTACAGGAGTTCTGTGTGCCAAGTTTGGTTCAATTCCATAGTTGGTGGAGTTCAGAATGCTCTTTGCATTCTGCAGGGGAACTGTAAATCCAAGCAACTACAACTCCCAAATGAAAAATTCAATCCCCTCCCAACCGATATTCAAATTTGGGCGTATTGGGTATTTGTGCCAAATTTGGTCCAGTGAATGAAAATAAATCCTGCATATCTGGTATTTGCATGATGATTCAGAACAGTAGCAAAATTAGAGTATGAGGTAGCAACAAAAATAATGTTATGGTTGGGGGTCAACACAACATGAGGAACTGGATTAAGGGGTTGCAGCATTAGGAAGTTGTCCTCATCTGCCTCATAGGAAACCTGCTACAAAACAGGAGCTTTTTTGTTGAGTTCCAGGGCCAGAGAAGCAGATGGCGGAAACAGCAGAACGGCCTGCCTCAGGGGAGCGTGCTTGCTCCATCCATGTTCTACATCTACACAAATGACCAGCCACTGCCAGAAGGGACAGAGAGTTTCATCTATGCTGATGATCGTGCCATTACTGCTCAAGCAGGGAGCTTTGAGATGGTAGAACAGAAGCTTTCCGAAGCTCTAGGTGCTCTCACTGCCTATTACAGGGAAAACCAGCTGATCCCTAATCCATCTAAAACACAGACATGTGCTTTTCATCTCAAGAACAGACAAGCATCCCGAGCTCTGAGGATTACCTGGGAAGGAATCCCACTGGAGCATTGCAGCACACCCAAATACCTGGGAGTCACTCTGGACCGTGCTCTGACCTACAAGAAGCACTGCCTGAACATCAAGCAAAAAGTGGGTGCTAGAAACAATATCATACTAAAGCTGACTGGCACAACCTGGGGATCACAACCAGACACAGTGAAGACATCTGCCCTTGCGCTGTGCTACTCTGCTGCTGAGTATGCATGCCCAGTGTGGAACACATCTCACCACACTAAAACAGTGGATGTGGCTCTTAATGAGACATGCCACATTATCACGGGGTGTCTGCGCCCTACACCACTGGAGAAACTACACTGTCTAGCGGTATTGCACCACCTGACATCCGCAGGGAAGTAGCAGCCAATAGTGAAAGGACCAAGGCAGAGACATCTCCAGCTCATCCCTTGTTTGGGTATCAGCCAGCACGTCAACGACTTAAATCAGAAATAGTTTTCTAAGATCTACAGAGACACTCGCTGGAACACCTCAGAAAGCGAGAGTCCAAAAGTGGCAGACCCAAACCCAGAATCTCAACCAATGGCTGATACCAAATGAGAGACACCCCCCTGGGCACACAGAATACGAGGTGACTTGGAAGGCACTGAACAGACTGTGCTCTGGTACCATGAGATGCAGAGCCAACCTCAAGAAATGGAGCCACAAAGTGGAATCCTCGACATGCGAGTGCGGAGAAGAGCAAACCACTGACCCCCCTGCTGCAATGCAACCTGAGCCCTGCCACATGATGCACAAGGGAGGACCTTCTCGCAGCAACACCAGAAGCACTCCAAGGGGCCAGATACTGGTCAAAGGACATTTAATCCACTACCAAACTCACACATTTTGTATTTTCTCTGTTTGTTTGCTTTGTTCTGTTAGAAATGTAATATAATTGACTGGCTGCCCTAACACGAGAAAGAAAGCATTAGGAAGATTGAGAAACACTGCTATATAGCTTTTTGAAGGGCACATGGGTTCAAACTTGCATTTTGGGGCAAATGCCCATAACTCTGCATCTCTGATCAGGGTGAATCAAAAAACGCCCCCGGTCCTTGTCTTTGGCTGCTTTGGAGAGTTTTAATTTGGAACTTTGGGTTTATTATCAATTATGGTTGTAGCTCGCCAGGCTGTTCCCTCTCAACCGCGGTCTAAATTCCAAATCAGTTTTGGATCCATGGAGAACACACAGAGTAAAGTCCTCACCCGAAATGGTGCGATCGTATTCGTAGGGTCCCATGAGGAAGTGAGGAAGCGAGGTGATGATTCCCGACAGGGCAACCAGGAGGGCTCCGTAGCCGATGAATCGGGGCCGGTGGACTCGGCTGCCAAAGTAGCTCACAAAGATGATCAGCAACGTGTTCCCCACCTGCGCAGCGAGACGAGGGAGAGTGAGAGGAAAGGCTGGAAGGGCGGGAGGAGCTTCCTCCCCAGGAAAGCTTACAAAAGACAAAAATGCAAGGACACGATTGCGGTACCTCGTTGAAGGAGGCCAGCAGGCCGGAGGTCTGGCTGGAGAGTCCAAAGCGCTTCTCGATGGTGGAAATGGTGCTTCTCATGTAGCCAGAGGTCATCAGCTGCGTGAGCTGCAGCAAGCTTTGGCAGAAGACAAAAAACTAGAGAAATAGAAATGAAAAGGGAGAGACAAATCAGTGGGGCCCTCCAGAATTTAGGGACTCTCATCACATCAGCATAGGTGGAGCTCCCAGTGGTGCAAGGGGTTAAATCCTTGTGCCGACAGGATTGTTGACCAACAGATCAGCAGTTCGAATCTGGGGAGATCAGGTTGAGCTCCCATCTGTCAGCTCCATCTCCCTATGCATGGACATGAGAGAATCCTCCCACAAGGATGGTAAATCATCAAACATCTGGGCATCCTCTGGGCAACGTCCTTGCAGACAGCCAATTCTCTTACTGGTAGTTTTTCAAGTCACTCCTGACACATAAAAAAAAGCATAGGTGGAGTATCCCTCATCCAACAGTTTGAGAACACCCTGTTTGCTATTTGGAGGTAAGGAATCAATGCAGGCTGAGGTTGCTGTAGATTTTTCAGGCTGTATGGCTGTGTTCCAGAAGCATTCTCTCCTGATGTTTCACCTGCATCTATGGCAGGCATCCTCAGAGGTTGTGGGGTCTGCCATAGATGTAGGTGAAACGTCAAGAGAGAAAGCTTCTAGAACATGGCCATAAAGTCCGAAAAATCCAGTCATTCATTGTAGGTGAACAATAAATCCCAGCAACTACAATGATGCGGAATGGCTTTCGTAGTAATGATGATGTTTTTTTGATGATGATGTTTTTTGTTAATGATGGATTGTGGATTATTTTATATTGTGTCTTGTATTTTGAACCTTGTTCTTTCTATGTTGTACACCGCTGTGAGTCGCCCCTGGGCTGAGAACGGCGGTATATAAGCAAAGTAAATAAAGTAAATAAATAAATAAATAAATAATACGACTCTCGAATGTCAAGTTTCTATTTCCCCCAAACTCTACCAATGTTCACATTTGGGCATATTGAGTATTCATGTAGAGTTTGGTCCAGATCATTGTTTGAGTCCACAGTGATCTCTGGATGTAGGTGAACTACAACTCCCAAACTCAAGGTCAATGCCTACCATTAGGGCTGGGCAAAATTATGAAATTAACAAACGAAACCGCCCAGCCCTACCTACCATACCCTTCCAGTATTTTCTGTTGGTCATGGGAGAACTGTGTGCCAAGTTTGGTTCAATTCCATCGTTGGTGGAGTTCAGGATGCTCTTTGATTGTAGGTGAACTATAAATCCCAGCAACTACAACTCCCAAATGATGAAATCAATTTTTTTAGTGAAGAACATACATTGGGTTGTTATGCGTATTGTGTCCAAATATGGTGTCAATTCGCCCAGTGGTTTTTGAGTTCTGTTAATCCCACAAACGAACATTACATTCTTATTTATAGAGATGAGTTGGAGGTCTTCGCTATCACCCAACCTACAAAGAGTTCGGTGGAGTTCAGAAAAACTAAACGAACATGAATATAACAAACCCACTCATTGCCGATTTCCAATCAATCCAGCACGGCACTCAAATGGTCAACAGTGGAGACTGAAAGGTCAGATAAAGGTTACTCTTTGACATTCCCATCCGAAAAAGAGATGGAAACGCATCCAAACAACACAAGAGGCAGGTGGGAACTTGCAGTCACCTTCACGTCCAAGAGCACAGTGCCTTCCTTGGGTCTTGCTGTTGCCTCCTGGTTCCTTGAGATATCATTTCCCATGTTTCCCAGCGTCAGGGACAGAGATCTTATATCTCACCGCATGGTGAGCGTTTCAGAATTGCCAGGTGCATATCAGTTCCACATCATTTATTTTCATGGATTTTTTACATTGAGGCTTATTGCTCAGACCTGCCAGAAACCAGTGCTGTATATGGAAATGAAATGTGAGCACGTGTCATTGAAGAGTGGGACTTTTGCCCTTCAGAGTCCAGGTGAAGGCATGCAGTCTTTCTCGGGAGCTAGCTTCACAAAAGCACTTTTCACATGTATGTTCTCCAAAAGCATGTGTGAATAGCAGGTCCCACAGTTCACTTATCCCAACCTGGGATCATCTTTTACTATTCTGGGTTGTTGTAGGTTTTTTCGGGCTATATGGCCATGGCCTAGAGGCATTCTCTCCTGACATTTCGCCTGCATCTATGGCAAGCATCATCAGTCATCTTCAACCTCAGCAAGATGGAGTGGATGAGGGATTTGAGGACATCCAACCCCAAATTGGGAAACAA